CGCGGTGGACTAGGTGGGAGCCCAGCGACATAGCCATTACGCTAACTGCTGGTTCCCAATGTTGTTTTTTTTTTTTTGAGTAATTTTTGCTATAGGGCACATGTGCTCACCAGAGACAGACAGAGAGAAAGTGAGAAATCACCCTGTGGTGGGATGGCCATACTGCAATCTCTTCTCATTCTCCTCTCGGGATCTCAGGCACGTACACGTGCCCAGCCTGAGTTTTAAGCCGCCAGGTCTGGGACTCGAACTGTGGTCGACTACCTCAGAGTACAATGACATAACCATTACGCCATCTGCTGGTCTCTAAATGTATTCTTCTAGACTTTTGAAGAGAAAACCTGCAGAACCCACTTCCTATTTTTTTTTTTTGGAGATGTTTTTGCCATAGGGCACGTGCGCTTGCCAGACAGAGAGAGAGAGAGAGAGAGAGAGAGAGAAAGTGAGAAATCACCCCCCCAGGGGGATGGCCACGCTGCAATCCCTTCTCCTCCATTCTCCCCTTGGGATCTTGGGCATGCATGCACATGCGCCCAGCGTGAGTTTTAAGCCACCGGGTCCAGGGCTCAACCGTGGTCAGCTACGTGGGAGTCCAGCAACATAGCCATTATGCCAACTGCTGGTCCCCTCCATTTTCTTTTTTTAGAGACTTCTGTTGTAGGGCATTTGTACTTGCTGGAGACACAGAGACAGAGAGAAAGTAAGAAACCACCCCCTGAGGAGATGGCCATATCACAATCCCTTCTCCTCTTGGGATTTTGGGCACGCATGCACACATGCCCAGCAGGAGTTTATAGCCACTGGGTTCAGGATTCAAACTGCAGTCCATCACATGGAAGTCCAGCACCTTAACCATCATGCAACCTACTAGCCCCCTACTTCCTATCTTTAACATCACCACCATAAGTGTTTATTTATCACTGAGTTCTCTTTTTTTAGATTTCTTTTTTTGAGAGGTTTTTGCTACAGGCCACATGAGCTCGCCAGAAAGACAGAGACAGAGAGACAGAAAGCAAGAAATCACCCCCCGGGGGGATGGCCACGCTGCAATCCCTTCTCCTCCACTCTCCTTTTGGGATCTTGGGCATGCACGCACACACACCCAGCCTGAGTTTAAGCCACCAGGTCCAGGACTTGAACTGTGGTCGACTAAAAGGAGTCCAGCAACACAGCCATTATCCAACTGCTGGTCCCAGTCACTGAGTTCTTTAAAATCAGTAGGGTTTATGCTTTGTCCTTCACCAAGTAATAACACTATTTTAAATTTTTTTGAAAATCGGCTATAGGGAGCATGTGGTCACCAGAGACAGAGGGAGGGAGAAAAAGTGAGAAAGCATCCCCCAGGGGGATGGTCACAACACAATCTCTTCTTCTCCATTCTCTTCTCAGGATTTTGGGCATGTACACATGTGTACCCGGTATTGTTTTCAAGCTGCTGGGAACTGGGATGCGAATCATGTAGTTGGCTACATGAGATTCACCAGCCGTGATCACCATGCCACCTGTCTGGCCAAATAAATTATTCATAATCTAAACCTCAACACTTATTGCTATAGGAAACTTCCCTTTACATTGAACTCTACAATAGAGTCAGAAGGACTGCTAGATTTTTGCTACAATTACCACAGCAGTTTAAGGAGCCAAGAAATAAAACTTCTGGGCGTGGTGGTTAAGGTGCTGGATCCCATAGAACCGACTCTATGGTTAAGAATCCTGGACTAGGAGGCTTGAAAAACAAGCTGGAAATATGTGTGTGCATATCCATCCCCCTGGGGGGTAGGGTGGGAAGTTCTCACTTTTCTCTCTCTCCGCCAAGTGTATGTGCCCTAGACCAAAATCTAAAACAAAAACCATTCATTACAAAAGTGTTTGGAGGACCAGCATATGGCATAACGGATACATCACTAGACTCCTAGGTAGTTGACAGTGGTTCAAGTCCCAGATCCAGTGGCTTAAAATTCATGCCGGACACATGTGTGTGCATGCCCCGAAACCTGAGAGAAGAATGGATTGGAGCATGGCCACCCCCACCCCCAGAGGGGTAATTACTCCCTTTTTCTGTCTGACGAGTGCATGCACACTATAGCAAAACAAAACAAAACTCTTAAAAAAAAAAAAAAAAAAAAAAAGTTTGGAGGGACCAGTAGATGGAGTAGCAGTTACATCACTGAACTCCCACATAGTTCAAGTCTCAAATCCGGTGGCTTGGAAATCATGCCAGGTGTGTGTGTGTGCATGCCCAAGATTCCAGGAGGAGAATGGAGAAGGAATTATGGTGTGGTCATCCCCGAAGAGAGTGATTTTTCACTTTCTCTGTCACTGTGCCTGCCTGTCTGTCTCTCTGGTGAATGTACATGCTCTAAAGGCAAAAAACCTCTTTAAAAAAAAAAGTGTTTAAAACAAGCAAGTGAGGGAAGTATTTACCTTTTTATTTTCACAGATCTTGGTTCTTTTGGGGAGCTTAATCCTTATTCTATAGGAATTTGATAGGTACTGAGAGGAAGAATGGCACTTATTCTTAGTTACAGTAGGGTACCACTGTGAAGGTGCTGTTCCTTAAAATTCCATCATCCAACTCACCTTGTTCCTTAGCAACCTCAGGTAAATATGTGGCTGTACGTTTGACACCTTTCTCATTGATGAATTCAATTCGAATCCCATGGACCCCTACCTACAGAAAAACAGACCAAGTAAATGGCATTTACTCATTCTAATCGGACTTCAATCACCCACATATAAATCAACATTGTCCCCTGCCAAGCCTGCCAAGCCTGCCCAGCCTGAGAAACTGCCTTCTGCTTTTCATGACTGACTGACTATCAGGTACAGAGACCAAAGAAATTTCAGCTTTTGTGAAGGGTTGGGTATTATGTAGCCCCCTTGCTGGGAATAGGATGGCTACAGAAATGAATTTTTCCCCCCAAAATTGTTTTAAACATTTATCTATCTATCTGAACATTATTTATCTATCTACCCATTGATTTTCAAATTTATCTATCTATCTGTTGATTTTCAAGCTGCCGGGTTCAGGACTTGAACTGCAGTCAGCCATGTGGGAATCCAGCACATTAACCACTACACCACCTGCTGGTCCAGAAACAAATTCTTTAAATAGTTCATCCAGAAGCTTGGAATGCTTCACCTCTTACCCATTCATTAGGTGAACATGCCACAAGTTTTAATCTGAGTTCATAACCCTTCATATCTGACTCCTGATAAGCAAGAACCTGAGGGCTTGCCATTAGGGATTCTAGATTGTTTATCCAGTTATTACTTTTTCTTCTTTTAATTTTCACTTGCCACCAACAATTGTGTGTGCTCACCAGAGAGAGACAGAATAAGAAAGTACTTCTCAATGGGGTGTGGTCATGCTGCAATCCCCTTCTCCATTTCTCTACCCTTTTCGGATTTTGGGCACGCACACACAAGCAGCCAGTATGTTTTTCAAGCCACTGGAGTTGGGATTTGAACTGCATGAGCCATACAGGATCCAGCTCTTCCAACTACCAGGCTTCAGGGCAGTCTATCTTTTTTTTAAGATAGGGTCTCAGGGACCAGCAAATGGCATAATGGTTATGTAGCTGAACTCTCATGTAGTCAACAGTGGTTGAGTCCCGGACCTGGTGGATTAAAACTCATGCTGAGTGTGTGTGCATGCATGCCCAAAATCCAAAGAGGAAAATGGAGGAGAAGAAGGAATTGTGGCATGGTCATCCCCACTGGGGGGTGATTTCTTGCTTTCTGCCTGTCTCTCCAGAGTGTGTGCAT